CTCCATGATCTTGTGGGCGTTACATCGTTTTTCATTTCTTGGCTTGCCAACTTCAAGCTCTTCCTCTTGGCTTTTGGTAAAGTACCTTTGTCTTTTGACCCATCAATCTCTCTTGGTCGCTTTGTTGCTGTTGCTTGCCTTCCCATCAAGATCCAACAAAACATCCCACCCCCAAATTCATTAGGCAAACACAAAAACACCCAAAATGATTCAATCCCATCTTTACCAAATCAAAATAACCAATTCAAGGAAAACTACTCTCTAGAAAAATCACACCAAAATACCCAAAATGAAAATAGCCAACAACGACACAAAGAGAACCCACTTGCAAATCACCAAAACGGTCCCCAAAAATCACATATTGATGGCCAATTGAAACAAAACCCGCATCCATCTCCACCAAAATCACATATTAATGGCCAAAACAAAGAAAACCCAATTCCCCAAAAGCCAAAACAAGGCCATAAAGTCCCTCAAAATTATGTAACAAAGGGTCTGCTTTTTGGAATTTTGTGTTAAAGTATCAACCCCAGCTCAGCCATTTTGAGGAGAAATCTCTACAAGGTTCTAGAAGTATAAACAACAAGGAAATAAAGCTTAGAGAAGATAGTCAACACTTGAGCTAGATAAGTAGAGAAAAATCTGGAAAAGTGAAGGAAGTTCCACCGACCTAGTAACTAGTATTGTAATATATTAATGTAGTTGATTCTAGAAAGTTACATAGGCTATGTCGGCTAGGAATGGAGAATAGTCTAGAAAGTAAAAGAATTATGTAGCAAAGGCAGTGGAATGGAGAGCTATGTCGGCTAGAACAACTATAAATAAGCATGAAGCCATGCTTTGTAATAAATCAAGAAGTGAAGTGTGTGTCAACTAGAAGAGTGAGCTATAGAGCTAAGGAGTCATTGTGAGAAGTGTGAGTGAAGTGAGAAAGAGTGTTTGTAAGAGTTAGTCTTTCCTTTGAGAGTTGTTTGTTGTAATAATTTGTGAGTCTAATACAAGTAAATTGTTTACTTGTTTTGTCTCCAACAAGTCTATCTTAGAGTTGTGTACTCTAAAATTTGCTCTACATTTTGTTGCGTGCCTATGATTACAGTGACCAAATCCATCCAAAGGCCCTGTTGCTTCGCTATTCTTTGCACATATACTTGCTTCTCGAACTCATCCTAGCCGTCGCTGCAACCCTGGCTCGAGCCCTCCTAGCCGTCGAGCTGGAGCCACAGTTCAACGAGCCCTACCTCTCCACCTCACTCCAAGACTTCTGGGGCAGATGATGCAACCTCATGGTCACTAGCATCCTACGACCCACCATTTACGAGCCCACCCTTGACATCTCTTGATGCGTTGTTGATCTCAACTGGGCATTGCTGCCCGCAGTGCTCGCGACTAGTATACCTTAAATTTTATTTTTCATTTTTTATTTATTTTTAATGTACAAAATGACCATTTTGCCCTCATTTTTCACGGCAAATTGGATGAAATGTTGTGGATTTAGACGAAGGGGGAAATTGGCGAAAAAAAGAAGTTCATATCCTTAATTTTCTAAAAAAAAGGATAGGGGATTAATTGAAAATTAGGTAAAAGTTCAAGGGGCAAATCACTAGTATACCCTTAAAGAATTTAGGGATTTATGTTCTCTATTATTTTCAGGTTGAAAAACTGTTGTTTTCTAGAAAATTTCTAGTTTTTTTGTTTGATTACTTTTTAGTTTGTCAAAGTCTGAGGATGTGGGTGCGAGAAGGAGGGAGAGAGAGAGGAAAGGGTTGTGGACGTGGGCGGTGAGGTAAGCGCGCTCAGGATAGGGGAGGTGAAGAGGGAATTGAGATTATTATTATTATTATTATTATTATTATTATGAAGATCTTAATTTTTTTCAAAGAGAAATGTAGCCAGTTTGTGATGTCACGTTTACTAAAATGAATTGAAATGAACAATAATATTATTCAATTTGTAATGTCATAACTTGCATAGTTGTTACACATATACGTTATAATCCATTGTTCAGAGAGAAATGCAGCCAGTTATAATTGAATAGGTTTACTAAAATGAATTGAAATGAACAATAATATTATTCAATTTGTAATGCCATAAATTTCTACTTTATTAATTAAAATAAAAAATTTGTGATGTCACGGTCATTGCCTTATAAAAACGAATAATTTTCACAGGATCCACTAGTGTAGTGGCAATTGCTCCCTCATGCAAAGGCCTAGGTTCGAGTCCTAACATCCATGTAGCATGTGTGAGTTTACTATATTATATCCCCTCTCAAAGAAAAGCTCCTAACAAACAAATAATTAGGATAGATAATTAAGAATCCCATTTCATCACTCAAAGTAATTCTGATTAATGCGCTTCACTGTTTTATTGAAATCATAAAACAACAAAAAATTAATTAAACAGTGCATGTTGTTGTTGTACAAAAACATTGTCTAGGACAACAAAGTTTTTAACCAAGCGTATAAAAAACGTTGGACACTAGTAATGTCATACAATTAGTAAAGTCAAATTATAAGCGGTTATTGGTTGGAAATGTATTGTAACTTAAGTAAGTTGAAGAAACTCTCGTCGTTATAATCAAGAGAAATTAAAGTGTTTACGTATTTATGAGATAGTCTAAGGCGTTTTCATATTCCAAATAACTCGGATCATTGCAAACCCTTATAAATCAAGAAACTCTTAAAACTCAACTCCATCAAAGAATTCTTTGCCTTTCCCAAAAAAATAAAAACTAACTCGTACCAAAAAGCACTATGGCCGCACTAAATATGTACCTAATGTTGGTCATTTTGCTTTTGGCGAGCCCATCAAGAATGATTTTCACAACTTTCGCAATTCCAACTTTCAAGACATCTAATTCGAAAATTTTGGATGAATGTAAAAAACATATCTCCACTAAGTGCATTCGGGAGGTTGGTGGAAGTATTTTCAAAAGTGGGAGTGTAACATACGGTTGTTGCTATGAGCTTGTGTCTGCAGGCAAAACTTGCCATGATCTATTCTTTAACTCTGTTCTTGCCTCCAAACCAATTGTCGACAAATCTAGAGCTTTAGTAGAGAGTACACAAGTTTGGGACCAATGTGTTGAAATTACAATTTCTCCCACACCTTCTATTGCAATTCCAACCCCAAAGGCATTAAATTCGGAGACCTTAGTTGAATGCAAACATATCTCCATTAATTGTGCTTGGGAAGTTGGTGGAAGTATTTTTGAAGGTGGGATGGTAACAGGTGATTGTTGCGATGATCTTCTGTTTGAAGGAAAAAACATGTCGTGATATATTTTTCAATGCGACTCTTTTGTTAAAACTCGAATCCTAGAGCTTTAGCAAAGAGTACACAAGTTTGAAACTGATGTGTTGAAATTGCAATTTCACCTACATTTTCTATTTTAGAACTGGAGAACTAAATTAATAAGAAATTGTGTATGAGATATATGCTATGTTGAAATAACATTTTTATTTGATTTATATTTATTCCAAAAAAAGTGACTTCAACATGGTTGTTTCGCTACGAGCTCAATTTTGTTGGTTAATTAAGGTTCTTCAACAATTGAAAGACAAAATAGTACTATTTTCCACAGCAACCAATGACTTCATTCCGTTCTTTGTGAGATTTAAAATATTATTGAACCCCTTTTTTTCACAAAATAAGTTTACTTATGTATCTTTTTTTTTATTGTTTGGGATAGACATTTATGGTCGTTGTTTTGTTCGCATCTTCATCATTTCTTCGTCCTCATCTTACTTGTTGGCACAATGTTCATAAAAAACACTCAATTAGTCCAATCGACAATGAAAGAATGCTTAAATATATTTGGAATATTTTATTCATATATGCTAAATAAGCGTACTCATGTAATTAATTGTCACAATACTATCACAATTTGTTTTACCAAAAATTCTGAAGCTACTTTTCTGCAAACCTCCATGTAACCCAATAAGGCAAAAATCAAATATGTTAAGTGGGATTGACCTGGTATTACGGGTGGGCATCGAGATCGGAAAACCGAAACACCGAGCCGCACTGGATGGAAAAAAAAGGGAGAAAAAACGGAGTTGACAAAAAAGTCAACAAACTGACACCAGACCAAACCGGACCGGTTCCAATGCCAATTTTATCCATGAGAAAACTGATCCGAGCCAAACCAGACTGGTTGGCATTAATTTATGTTTTTATTTTTAATATCTAATTATTTAGCCCAATTCTCCTAACACATTAGAAGCCCAATCCCGCAACTCTCCTCCTAGACACTTTTGAAGCTCAATTTATTTTTTTAGCCCAATTCCTTTCTCTCCCTCTCTCTCTCCCATTCTTTTTTCTTCCTGAAGCTCTCTCCCTCTCTCTTTTCTTTTGTTCTTCTTTCTTCTTCTCTCTGATGCGACTTCACTTTCTCTTTCTCCCTTTTTTTTTCTTCTTCTCTGCTAGACTGCGACTTCACTCTTTTTCTTTATCTCCTTCTCTCTATTTTTTCTTCTCCCTTTTCTATATCTCTCTTTTTCCTTTTTTTTTAGCGTTTCTCTGTAACAGCGCTAGTGTGCTTCGTTTCTGTGGTCGTTCGTTGATTTCGTCTCGTGGCCGTTCGTCTCCTTCGTGCTTATTGGTTGAAAATCTAGTTTGTTTGATTGCAAATAAGGGTTTTTAATGAAATTAAAATTAAGGGTTCTAGAAATCAACTTCTGGCGTGGCTTTACATAATTTATGGATTTATGTTTTCTGTAATTTTCAGGTTGGAAAACTGTTGTTTTCTAAGAAACTTTCCAGTTTTTGTGTTTGATTACTTTTTAGTTTGTCAAAGTCTGGGTCATGTTTTCACTGAAAAGAACAAGAAATTTATGTTCAGTGACAATGCTAAGAAGTAGTTACATAAACAATTGCTTTTCAACACAAATTTGCATAATTCTCTCTTTCACCAGCAGAAATTGCATTTACAAAACACTCAACCAGGCTTCAAAACAACCCATTAATCTGACCACCTATAAATTGACACAAAAATAAAATGGGAAGCCCTCATTAGGGTCAAATTAGGAAGAAGAGCCAGCCTCGCTTAAAGAAGGGCAATGAGAATGAAAAGAAGAACAGCAGCTATGAAAGAATACTTTACAGCAGCAACAAGTATAGCCAATGCGATGAACACCAGCTGCCATAGCACCTGCACGCTTGCCCACGTCAGCAGCCCCGTCAATCCGACGGCCAAGATGTTGTTAGGATCTGGGTCCAGCAGCAGATCACCCCATCTGATGTTGCCGAATAAGGGCCGTTGATTCTCTCTCAAATCATCATCACCACCGCCGAATCCAATTTCTTCTTCTTTGTCTTTCTCGTCTTCCCTCTCCTTGCCACTGGGGTTGTTTGCAAATACTACAAATTTTTTGGGTTTTCTTGGTATTTGGGTTTGGGGTTTGAGAAGTAAAGAAGAGGAATTGAGGAGGGTTTGTGAGGGAATTGATAGAGGGCTTGTGGTTGAAATCAAAGAAGATGATGGGATTGGTGGGGGTGTGAAAGCAGCGACCCCTAACATGTTTTCCTGGTCATCAAATTTTTGCAGGAAAATGAGGAAAGGGGAAAAGGGTCAGTTTCGACTCGTCATTTCGGCTTGGCCATTTCCCCGTTCTAAATTCTATTGGCTACATATTCTGGGTTTGGGTTGTAAGGGCTTTTTACTTGCTATTTGCGTTTTTGTATTTGTTGGGCTTGGGCTTGCGCCCCAAAATTGGATATCAAGTGTGATGATTTTTTCTTGCAATTACTGAAAAGAAGATTTTTATTTCATTCTTGTTTTGCCAGACCAATAATGTGACTTTGATTTGAGACTCTGGAGAGGTATGCTTAGCGGTTTTTTTTTATAATTTTTTCATTTTCATTTTTTTTTTTGAAAAATGAAAACTGAAAACATGCTTGGTAGTATATTTCATTTTTCAGTTTTCAAAAAAGTGAAATCTAGTTTTCAAAATCACTCTTCTTTGAAACAACTTGAAAGTAGTTTTCATTTTCTTTTCTTTTTTTGCCTCCTTCCTCATTCACCAATTTTACATCACTACACATGTATTGAACTACAGTTACTGAAACTCGGTATTTGTGTTCCTCCATGGACCCATTCCAAGCTTGAGTACCTCCAAATCCAAAATTGACCCAAAAAATCATCTTAACTCATAAAAGTCACTGAAAAATACTACAAACTCTCTGTAACATGCACTTCATTCTATAATCTCAATTCACAATTTGACCACAGAAAAATTCCATTTCAAGTTCCACATAAAACTAACAACTGAAATCAGTTACCAAACAACTTTTATACATTTTTCATTTTCAATTTTTTTATTAAAAAAAACTAAAATTGGTTACCAAATAAATTTTATGTTTTCAATTTCTTTAAAATGAAAAAAGAAAACTATAAATTGAAATTGTTATCAAACGGCCCCTAAGGTTGCATGATCGATTCTTTTGGGTTTTACATAAGTTATAAAAGCTGAATCAATTAGTTTGAAGTATGGGTCGTGGGCACAACGTATGGGAATTGATATTTTATAAATTGAAGGTGATTCACATCTTTTAATCAGCAATCATTCTCACCTAATGACCTAAAAATGAGGACATGTGAGGACTTCTTTAATAAAATCTATTAGACTAATCAGACGACACATATTAGTAGTCTTAACACTCCTTTATTCTTCTATGTTTTACTCAAACAATCATTCTAATTGTTAGAACCCTAAAAATACAAAAATAAAAAAGGAAACATGTTTAAGCAATTAACACATACAAAATGATTATGATGAAATCCTGGAAAAACAGACTTGTTCGACCAGAAAGAGGAGAGAGGAAGAGGATGAGGAGGAGAAGATACTTTTGTATGGTTTTGTTCGACCAGAAAGAGGAGAGATGAAGGGGATGAGGGGGAGAAGATGGTTCTGTTGGGTTTTGTTCGACCAAAACGAGGAAAGAGGAAGGGGATGAAGGGGAGAAGATGGTTGGGAATGCACATACCTATTGTACTTTTTTGTTGCGACTTAGAATAATTAAAAATATTATTTGAGTAAACTAAAGTAGTCTGGCTAAGGGTTAAGATTATTAACTATATGTGTCGTTAGATTAATCCAATGACTTTAATTAAAACGTTCCTCACAAGTCCTCATTTTAGAGCATCCGCAATGGGCTCCCTAAACCACCTTCTTAGACAAATTTTAGGGAGGCATTGTAAAAATGCAACTCGAACCATGCTCCCTATCCACCTCCTAAAATAGGGAGTCCTCTAGGAGCTCCTAAATCTGAGGAGAGAGAAAGGACTCCTAGTGGCTCCCTATAATTTAATGCTGCCTTATTTAATGAGTATTCCAAACCTTTATTTAATGCTAACTATTTTTTATTTTATTTTTTAATAGAGATGGACCAATCAAAAAAGAGTTATAACATTATGACTCTCCAAATTATGGAGTATGGTTGGAGTTGAAATTTTTTAGAGAGCTCCTAAAATAATTTTCTTATATTTTTAACTAAATTTTAGCTAAGAAATAGAGAGCATCATTGCGGATGCTCTTAGTCCTTAGGTAAGCGAAATTCTTTAAATCAGAGTATTACAGCGACCCTAACCTCCCTCGACCTTGGCGTCATTTGTCACTAATGAACTACATTAAGGGATTAATGCAAAGCTTTACAAATTCATCAAATAAGACATATTTATTGGGAAGCTAACAAGTTTGCTAATAATATGTCGACAGTAGGTCATGATAAACATGATACTTAAATATTCTTGCTAACTTTCCTTTACTCATTTATTTAATGCTCATCATGTACGTTAGCAGGGATACAGGGATCCTTCATCATTATAATTTTTAGAGGAATGCTTGCAACTTTCTCTCTAACCTTCTCCTTTCCTTCATGACATGTGTCATTTTTTTTACACTTAAAGCAATGCCATTAATACATCAAAACAACCTACCTTTTGTTTTCCATATTTACCCTTATTTGATGTATTGACTTTAGTGTTTACTTTTTTTTTTTTCCAATAACTTTCTCTCTCTTGGAATAATCACAGACTTGTAGCCCCAAATCCAACCCTCCCTCTCATCATTTTGAGATAGCCAGACCTTCACACCTGAAACAACATGACATCTCCCACCAAAAAAAAAATCAAAATTCATCAAAATCATTTTGTTTATTTCTCATATTAAAGTTTGCAACTTTAAGGTGAGATTTTTAAATTTGGGCTGGGTTGTTGTTGTTGTTGTTGTTGCTTGGTGATGGTCCTCAAACCCAAATTTAGTATAATGGCCAATGCTTGCCATGGCCTTGAGGGTGTTCTTACCATAGCCAAACCTTGCAGGGACTTGGTTTTGTTTGAAGAGAGATTGGGAGAAGAGAGAAAAAAGGGAGAGAGAAGGAAGAGAGAGGAGGTGCTGGGCTTTGGGGAAGAAGGTGGGAACGACTAGAGATAGGTTTTTTAATTTTGATTTTTTAAATATTTAATAAATTAATATAATAATTTTTTACAACGTATTAAGAAAGCTGTAAAAAATTTAATAAATTAGGGTAAATATGGAAGAAAAAAAAAAAAGTTAGGTTGTTTGATGTATTAATGGCATTCTTTTAAGTGTAAAGAAAATGATGCATGTCATGAGAGAAAGGGAGAATGTCTAAAAGAGAAGGTTAGAGAGAAGGTTGCTAACATTCCCCATAATTTTGATTCTAGCATTCCTCGTAATTTTATTTCTTGGTTTGAAGAAGAAAAAAAAAAGTAACCACTAATCATGAATAATGTAAACTGAGAGTCGCCAAATTATGTCAGAACCATCTAGCAGGAATACAGAACGTCATGCTTTACCCTGGTAAAAGCTAATATATAACTCTGAAAATACCATTTTCCAGCTACAATAATATTACTGTGCAGGGAAGGAAAACAGTGGGAAGGCAAGAAGAGAGGCCAAGTAAGGGAACAAAAAGGAAAAATCTCTCCTTTTGTCTTTTGATTATATGATTTATGAGATATATATATATATATATATATATATATATATC